ATTCATAGATCATTTTAAAAAGCATATAAGGAAGCCCTGAAATTACAGTTTGAAAACCATTGTACTAGATGATCAAGGCACCTTTGGGAAGTGGTGTTGACCAGTAGATTCTAATAAACTCTGCTCCCTTTCCTGTCAAAGATTGATCACTAGTTTGATCTAAGGACTCAGGCCAGTCAGTAAGTTGCTTTGCTTTTGTAAGTCTGTTATCCACATTCATTGACCAAGTCTTGACCAAGCCAGACACATGACTGTGCCAAGCATTTGCAATTTTTGAATGAGCATGAACCCATGCAAAAAGATTACATAATAAGGTAGTTTTACAAGAGAAGAGTCAACCCACTCAGACCATTAGGCTGGACTAAAACCAGGGATCCTTTAAGAAAGAGTTCTGAACTATCAACTTAAAGTAACCCCTTTACCTTTAGGTAAATATTTCATTTGAATAAACCTACAAGTTTATGTTCTAAGTCTCATACTGAACAACTCTAGTTACTTTACATATTGTGTTTTCTTGACTTCTTGTTTAGGCCTTTTGAAAAATTTTATTCTTGTTATAGAGGATCCATGTTTTTCTATGAAGTTCTCTTCATCTACACACAAAGACCCATCTCCTCTTTGTGTATCATGCTCATATGGAAAAAATACTTTCAGAGTGTGAAGCTGTTGCTTTGGATCCAATGTGTCATTTCAACTTTGGATTAGTTTTTGTTAGCCAAGATATTATTTGTTTTTCTGGTTATTCTCTTGTCAGTTGGCTAATGTTTTTCTCTTCACAAATTGTTTTCTAGATATGAGGCTATAAAGAGTCTTCTCAAATAACTCTGTCTAGTTCCTCTTATGGTAAAACTGTCTTGCAGGCTCGTCACTCAGTCTTTTTGGTGAAGAGTCATCTTCAGTCAGTTCCTAGCTATGTGACTTTGGGCAAATAAATTCACCTAAGCCTCAGATTTTTCATCTATGAAATGAGAATAATGACCATACCTCTTCCACGGTTGTTAAGAGGATTAAAAAATAGAGTACATGGAAAGTACTTAGAATTATGCCTATCTTATAGTAGTTGATCTATATGTGTTAATTTTTGCTATTCCATTTCCCAGGAATGATATTTTTACCCTAATCACTTATTTAACAGATAAACACCTAAGTTCTATTTCTATTCAGGTTTGCTATTTTGAGGGAAAGAGTATAGGAGGGTACTTCACAAATGACAAAGTACAAAAATGCTCCCAGTAATAAAACTTTAATATCATTACTGTATTCGATAAAATTGGTTCTGAGATTGACCAATCTATGTATTTTATGTTTTGTTGGGTCTAAAACTGTCTTTTAATTTATTTATTCTATGTATTAAGTTTACATTATTTCCCTAATTTCACTTAAGTTCAACCACTACTTACCAAGAGTTCCCAATGCTGCCAGCAGCTATACTAAGCACTGCTGTGAGTAACACATAAGTAGGAGACCAAGTCCCTGAAGTTATAGAGCTTATGGAATTGAAGGCAACATCATACTCACACACAAAAATCATGTGTGAAGAATGAAAGAGTGTATGAAATCCCCAATTGAATATCATCACCAAATATGTGTATTACAGACAAGAACTATAGTATGTGCTCCAAAATGAGTATCCTTATGTCATCCAAGGCATCATGTCAGCCTTCACTGTGGCTGGTGTTATTATTTACGCTGCTAACTTTCCAACTCTTTCTCGTGTACATCAAAGATCCACTTCTCCACAGTGCATGGGGATTAAGGTATCTTGGTCTAAAGATGCTCTAGTTATGTAAGGGAACTATATCAGTTATGTTGTCCATAGATTCTCAAACACCAAAGAATCAGAACACTTTTTAAAAAACAAATGTTCATGATAATTCAGAAAGTACTTCATGAACTAGAAATACACTGGGATTGTTAATCATATATTGATTATCATTTAACAGAACTAGAGAATCTCTGAAACTCTCCAGTTTAAATTCTGGATAATCAACTCTTTATATTTGTATAAAACTTTAAATTTTTTAGTACTTTCATATATGTCCTTATACTTTTTCTTCATGGCAACCTACTATGAAATAGATGGAGTAAGTGTTAATAAGCCCCTTGACAAACTCACATCTAATCAATGAACTTTACTGAGTACCTACTATGTTTCGGTGTTAGTTGATGGAAAAATATGTATTAATAGAGCCCTTATTCTCCAAATGTCATGGGAATTACTAAAACAAGTGCAGTTGTTAATGCTAGTGAGGCACTTAACACATTGAAATTATAAAGTGCAATGGGTTGTTTCCATGTCTTGGCTATTGTATATAGTGCTGCTATGAACTATAAAATAGATTAAAAAATAAATTTCTTCTGTATAGCACAGGAAACTATATTCAATATCTTATAGTAACCTATAATGAAAAAGAATATGAAAATGAATATATGTAGGTATATGTATGACTGAAACATGATGCTGTACACCTTAAATTGACACATTGTAACTGACTGTACCTCAATTAAAAAGATGCAATGGGAATACAAAAAAAAACTTTATTCCTGCCTGGATTAAAGGAAGCGGAAAGCTCTGCAAAAGTGGTAAAGCATTATCTGGGTCCTAATGAGAAAATAAGATTTTTAACTGGGTAGAAAAGAGGGAAAGAGCATACTAGACAGAAAGATCAACATAAGCAAAGGAGAGAAAATGTGAACATGTATGATGAAATCTGAGACTGGTGAACATTCTTGTGGTCCCTGTGTGGCCAGGCCTAGGTACGTGGTGGAGTTAGAGGAAATGAAGCTAGAAATATAGGCTTGGATTAAATTGGGAAGGGCTTTGAATGCCATGCTGAAGAGTACAGAATAACTGTTTTTAATTTTAGCACTTCCTATGTGCCAGGAAATATGCTACATACTTTAAGTATGCAATCTCATTTTCTCTTCACAGTGGCTGCATAATATCAGTATTGTTCTCATCCCATTTTATAACTAGCCCAGAACATAAGTGGCAGAGCCAGGATATAAATGAGGTCTGCTTGATGCCACAGCCCATGTCCTTAGCCACTCTGCAACGCTGCCTAACATACTTATTTCCCTGTTGGCAGCATACCCCTCCCATCCTGTCAAGTCCCATGAGTACTCCCGCATAATTCCCTCTCCCTCAGCTCCCTCTTTTAACTCTTTAAAAATTTTTTTGAACACTCTTTTTTTTTTGGTAGGGGGAAGCAATTTGATTGATTGATTATTTTCTAATGGAGGTACTGAGGATTGAACCTAGTACCTTACGCATGCTAAGCACGCACTCTATCATTGAGCTATACCTTTCCCCTACCTGACTCTTTAATATTAAAGCATCTCTTGAGCTAACAAAATGAGTTACAAGGAGCTGGTGGTGACTACTTCCTTAGTCTACTAGTTTCCACCGGAAGAATGTGTGTTGGTGGAATGTTAGAGATCAGCTGGTCCCTGAAGCCTTAGGACTTCCAGACCCTACCTGAGCTGAATGTGCCTGCCCTTAGTTCATCAAGGTGACCTACCAGCTGCTTATCCCATATCCACTGGATGACTTATCTGAACTTACCTGGACGGCTCTGTGTGTGAGAGGAGACATAATAGGGTTAATCAGTTTCTAAACCTTAGATTTTTATGGAGATTCATAAAGAATTTCAGAAGAAAAAAAAATCACAGCCACCTACCCACTCTCCTAATGACAGCTTAGCTCTTCCCAGAGAAGAAATTTCCCATTTCTGGGTGTGAATGTAATTTTCTCTGCTTTAGAGGCCTACCCTGTAATCTAGGGAAGCTGACATTTTCCATTCTGTAATAGGGTGAAGACATTGGTTTGATGATTTTCTTTTGCCAGAAGCACTTTTTCTTTCATGGCATATGGTAGCCTGAGCTACATGTGTTCTGGCTGCCCAGAGCTTCAGCATCCTCTGGGGAATCTTTACAAAGACAGTGGATCTAGAACGATAAAACCATCTCCAAGGCCCTCTCTTGCTACAACAAGAATCTCAGTCCCCTTAGCCTTTCTCAGGGAGTATGCTGTCACCTGATTGGGGTCACTGATTTATATACTTGAATAAACATACCTCACGTTATATGTAATTTTGTACCATTCCAAGTAGCTTTGTTTCCTTTCTTATTTGGTCTATAAGGCAAGCAGGGTAAATACCATTGTCCTTCAATATATGAGAAAACTAAAGCATAGAAACACTTAGTATTATTTAAAGGGAATCCAATTTGGAATTCAAGCAAAATTAGAATTCATGTCTCCCTACTCGCAGCATTGGGGAGACTCTAATACATCACATTGCTTGAATAAGGAACAAACAAGTTGTCCCCCCTTCCCTAGACACTGCACTATTAGTATGCTAATTTTTCTTTATCTCCTAAGAGCCTCTCAGGCTCCTAGAGTTCTGCCTGAGGATCTGTAGCCACCTAGAACCAACTGGACGCTTGGAGAAGCCAAGAAGAGCTGCTCTAGGGTTCAGGGTACTGGCTGGCTGCGCAGTGTATCAGTGTCGTTCGGCCTCATCTGGGCCGTAGTAACCGGTAATATCTAGCCTTTATCCAGTGCTTACTATGCACCAGGCAGAGTGCTATGTGCTTTGTAGGACTTACCTCATTTACTCTTCCTAACAATTCCATGAGGTAGGTAGCATTTTTAATTCTTATTTTTCATGGTCTTAACCACTTGAGTCTGCTGTCACTCCAGTATTACAAAATTAGAGACTTTCTAAAAGTCCCATGACAAAGACTACTATTGAGAAGTTGATTCATCATCTGTGTTTTCCTAACTCTTGACTGATTTCTATTTTTTAAACAGCTTTATTGAGATATAAGTCACACCTTATAATTCAGTCATTTAAAGCATACAATTCGATGTTATTTTTTTTTCAGTATACTTACAAAGTTGTACAGTCATAACCACAATGAATTTTAGAAGACTTCCATCACCTCCAAAATAACTAATCTCTCAATTTTGGTGATTTTATTTTATTTTATTTTACCAGAGAATCGGATCTGGCCTGATTCCAAATCTATCCTGGCCAAAGATCTAGAGCAGGGGTCACAAACTCAAAAGCTCCAGGGACCAAGCAGACAACATCAAAAAGTGAGCCAGCATCAACACTGGAGGGAACCACGGCAAATCCGAAGGAGCCTGCCTTCTAAAAGAGGGGAGCTACAGCTGAGCCATGTTGAAATATGGACTCAACTGCTTTTCAAAAATAAGCCAGAAATATGGTATTTTATAAACAATTCCCTGGTCATTTTTGCATGATAGCAATTGAAATTTAAAAAACAACTACATGGGAAAAATAAAAAATATCTGTGGGCCAGATTAAAATCCTGAGTTACTGGTTTATGACCTCTACATTCGAGAAACACGGAAACTCTCCAGTTTCAGTTTTCTTGACACTATCCTCCCCTACCACTTGACCGTCTACCAAATTGGAATCAGAGTTCTCTGGCCTTAGGGCTTTGATTTGGGTATGGTTTTGCCCTGTTGTAAGGATATGGACTAGATAGTTTCTTGGAGTGCCACAAAAATAACCCTTCCTTCATACTGATCTATCTCAGATCTGTGCTTATCTCTCTGAAGAGACCTGAATCTATATTCTTTGAGATTTTCAAGAGAGATTCTAACAGATTTATCCTTTTGAGGATCCTAACCTGATGTTCAGACTCAAGCTGTCCCTAGGAGTCATTCTGAAGCAAAATTATTATAGCTATTTTAGCCTCTGATTGTGTCCCTAACATCAGGACAATCTGATTTGTTACAGAGCATCTGGCACTGGCATGTGTCCTCCTCCTTTGGGTCACACTGTCAATTAGGTGCTATTGCCTGCCTTTCGCCATCAGGGTTAATTCTAGGGGATGCCCTTATATAAATACCTACCTTAAAGGTTGTGTTAAGGATTAGAAATAATGTGCACCAAGAGATAGTTTGTGGCCCTTGGCGGGTACTCATTAAACACGCACACACATACACACACAGTACTGACTATGATTCTGCTGAGGCTTATGAGAAAACAGGGATTTCTGGTGAGAGGGGAAAATAGCAGCTCTTAGCCAGCATGCCCTGTCAACAATAGAAATGCAAAATTTCTAAGAGGCTGGTGCCCATCTGCAGAAATAAGCAAACAGGCATGACCCTTCATCAACATGGGCCTCACCTGGCCCCTATATCCCTTTTTCCTAGTGCACAAGAGAGCACATGGCTCCAATTAGAATACCAGTTAGTGTTACGGATGGTTGGGTTGCTAAGCTCACTGGGTGGAAAGAACATTATTAGCCTGGCACTGAACTCAGTCCAGCCACTGCCCATCCTCCTGGCTAGTCATATACAAGCGCTGTTCCTGCAGGTACCTACCTCACAGGCATAAGTGCTGTAGTAATAAAAATTGTAATTTAAAAAACACCATGGTACCTCTTTACCCACTATGTTCATTGCTGAATTGATTGAAGTAAGAGATGTAGGAAAATGTCGTGGGTTAAATGTTGAAGTCCTAAGCCTTGGTACCTGTGAACACAATCTTATTTGGAAATAAGGTCTTTGTAAATGTAACGAAGTTAAAATGAGGTCCACTGGAATAGGGTGAGACTTTAATATAACTGGTGTCCTTGTAAGAAAAAGAGAAAAGACACAGAGAGAGACATGCACAGATGGAAGACAGCCATGTGAAGACAAAGACACAGAGAGGGAAGACTGCCATGTGACTACGGAGGCAGGCATTGGAGTTGTTTAGCTGCAAACCAAGGGACACCAAGGACCGCTGGTAACAGCCAGAAGCTAGGAGAGGGAGCCTGGCCCTGCCAACACCTTGACTTTGGACTTCAAGCCTCCAGGACTGTAAGTAAGTAAATTTCTATTGTTTTAAGGCATAAAGCTGGTGGTACCTTGTTACCACAGCCCTAGGAATCTAATACAGGACGAACAGTAGGAGTGTGTCTTTTGGAGTCAGGCAAGTCTGTGTTCAAATTCTGGCTCTGCCATTTTCTACCTGTAGATTTGGGCAGATTATTTAACATCTCTGGACCTGTTTAGTCATCAATAAAAAAAGGACAGCACTACCTCAAAGGGGTATTATGACCATTAAATGAAATATTTTAAGTTGAAAGTGTCTAACACTTAGGAGTGGTGACTGTTTTCCATAATTATACATATATATTTCTGGAAAGCAACTTGGTATAAAAATACATAAAGGCTTCACATGTGCATTTTCCATGATCCACTAATTTCTAACGCATATACACAATAGTCATTTCTAAGGTATACACCTACTCCTAAGTATATACCCAACAGAAATGCATATACTTGAGTGTTCATAGCAGCAACAGTCATGATAGTAAAATAATACATAAAGTCATATGCCCATTAGCAGGAAAGTGAATAAATTAAATTGTGGTATATTCACACAATGAAATACTATTCAACAATTAAAATCAATACTCTGTAACTATAGATACTACAAACGTGTTGAATAAAAGAAGCCAAAAAAACTGCATACTCTATGATTCTAAACATATATAAAGGTTTTAAATCTGGCAAAACTAATATAGACTGTTAGAAGTCCTGATAGTGCTTACCCTTGGGAGGAAGTAGTGACTGAATGAGGCATGAGGGAGGCTTCTGAGGTGCTGGTAACATCCTGTTTCTAGATATGGTGGTGTGTTCACTATATGGGTGTGTTTACTTTGTGAAAATATGTCAAGCTGCACACTTATGTGCATTTTTCTGTACATACATTATACTCCAATAAAAATGTTTAAAAATTCATACAATTTGACCTAGTAATTACACATTTTAAAAAATAACATGAGAAAATCAAATATATGTCTGAGAATAGTCAGCATAGTAATACATGTAATAGATAGTACAGAGAAAATTATGCTAATATTGAACAGAAAAGTCATGGTTTAATCACTTATGATTTACCTAAACAAGAGAATATAGGTGACAAAGAGTTTTTTATCCAGTTCTTCAATAGGTAATTTTTATTTTTTTAACAATTCTTATATGGGTTCAACCTCTTACTTTGTGCCTCTGTGTTTGTTTTCATTTATAAAGAGAGAAAATAACTTGCCTAAGAAGTGTGTCTCCCCAAGTCAACTTGTGTTCAAATCAAAACCAGAGGAAAAGTTCAAGTTGAATGAGTTAGGATTGGGCTACACACTACTTGGACTTGAAGAAAAATAGACATCCAGTTATCTGGGAGACAGCAAGGATTTTAATTTACATACATTATTCAATAAATATTTATTTTACTTCTTACACCAGAAAAAAGTCCAGATAGACCAAATAAGATAACTATAAAGGCAATAAAAGAGAACATGGGAGAATTAAAAAAATAGTTTTGGAATGTGCAAGGCCCCCTCTGAGCAAGATTCAAACTCCTGCAGACTTTAAGGCAAAAGACTGATAAATCTGACTATAAATCATTGAAAATGTCTTTGTTGAAAAAGTAATACTATGAGAAAATTCCATAGACAAGTTAAAATGTGAGAAAAATGTTTTCAAAATATGGTGAAGGACAAATTATCTTAATAGATAAAGAGCTTTTGCAAATCCAAAGAAAAATACCACAACCCAATAAAAACTGGGGAAAGGAAATGAATGAGAAATTCACAGAAAAATACAAATGGCACATGAATAAAACCAAGCTTATATAGTGCTTATCATAGCCCAAGTCCTATTCTAAGTGATTTACACACTTGAGACTCAACAGCAATCCTATAAAGTAGGTACTAACAGAATTGTCATGTGTAAGGAAACTGAGACACAGAGGTTAAGTGATCTGTCTAAGGCCATACAGTTGATAAATAATAGTGTTGGAGTTTGAACTTATATTTCAATATATACACCCTTGTATTGTTGGTTTTTTTTTTACCATGTACATGCATATATGATTTTTCAATTAAAAGTAATGCCAACAACAAAAATTACATGGAATATTGAGTTATTCAACATGAGCTAAATTAATGTGTCCAGATTCAGATTTAACTAACATTTATTAGGACATAACCTGAACAAAGTTTTATTCTAAGCACTATCATTATCATCTCTTCTATGAACTGACTGGGTAAACTTGGAAGGCAGAGACTGAATAAAGTATATTTTTCTGTCTTTTGTCAACAGCCATAGGAGAAAGCCCACACTTAACTTTCTTATTTGCTATTAGATTGCAGAAGAGTAGGTGATACAGTTCTTTGTTGCTGATACAACCCCCTATTTCTTTTTCTCAAAAATTGTAACATCTACCATTTACTAAGTTTCTACTATGTGTCAAATGCTGCAATTTATGATTGCTGTTTAATACTAACATCCCTATGAAGTGGACACTATTTTAACCTTTACTTGTAGAAGAGAGATCTAAGCCTCAGAGAAATAAAGTAATTTACTCAAAGTCACAGCCCAGGTCTGTTTGTTTATAAACCCCTGATCATAACTACCATATGATTTTACTTTCTTAATTTTAGGGAAAAGAAATAACAGTTACCATTTAATGGGAGATAACCATCTTTTTTGAATAGTACTAAACACTTTACATGAATGGTTGCATTTAATGCTTATAACAACCCCATGAGGTAGCATAACAATTATTGTTATTCCCTTTGAGAGATGAAGGAACTGAAGCATAGAGGGTAAGTGACATGCTTGTAATTATTCAGCTAATAAGTAAAATAGCCAGGGTTTGAACAGGGTTATCTGTATGGCTTAACAGCTTGTGTTTTTTATTCTAAATCATACAGCCTGGTAGAGTGACTGAGTGAATAAAATACAAAAACAAAAAACCAGACCAAACTGTATGCTGCCTACAAGAGACTCCAGCTTCAAGGACACAAACAGACTCAAAGTGAAGAGATGGAAAAAGATATTCCACACAAATGGAAATCAAGAGAGCAAGGGTAGCTGTATTTATATCAGACAAAATAGAATTTAAGTAAAAAACTGTAACAAGAGACAAAGAAGGTCATTATATAATGATAAAGGGGTAAATCCATCAAGAATACATAATAATTATAAATATATATGCACCCAACATTAGAGAGCCTAAATATATTAGGCAAATAATAAATAGATCTGTAGTAAGTAATAGACAATATAATAATAGAGTATTTCAACATCCCTCTTTCAACAATGGATAGATTGTTTAGAAAGAAAACCAGTAAGAAAACATTGGACTTGAACTATATTTAGACCAAACAGATCTAACAGAGATATAGAGAACATTCCATCTAAGACTAGCAGAATACACATTCTTCTCAAGCACATGGGGAACATTCTCCAGGATAGATCATACGTTAAGTTACAAAACAAATCTCAGTAAACTTCAGAAGACTGAAACTATACCAAGTATCTTTTCTAACCACAATGTTATAAAACTATGAAGAAAACTGGAAAATCCACCATTATGTGGAAATTAAACAACACATTTCTGAATGACCAATGGATCATAACAGAAATCAAAAAATACATTTTTAAAAATACATTGCAACAATATATTTGCATAATAATATAAACAAAAATGAAAGTATAACAAACAAAAACTTACAGGTTGCAGGAAAAGCAGTGCTAAGAGGGAAGTTTATAGTGATAAATAACTACATTAAAAAAAAAGATCTCAAACAACTAACTTTAAGCTTCAAGAAACTAACAAAACAAGAAAACATCTCAGCCCAAGTTAGAAGAAGGAAGGAAGTAACAATACCAGGCAGAAATAAATAAAATAGACAATAGAAAAGTAATAGGAAAGATTAATGAAACCAAGAGTTGTTTTTTTGACAAGATAAAATTGACAAACCTTTAGCTAGACTTATCAATAAAAAAGAGGACTCAAATAAATAAAATTATACATGAAAAAAGAGACATTACAACTGATACCATAAAAGTGCAAAGGATCATAAGAGACTACTATAAGCAATTATATGTCAACAAATCAAAGAGTCTACAAGAAATGAATACGTTCCTATAAACATACAACCTACCAAGTGTGAGTCATGAAGAAATAGGAAATCTGAACAGACCAATAACAAAGAGATTAAATCAGTAATTTAAAACCTCCCAACAAAAATGAGGATCAAACGGCTTCACAAGTAAATTCTATCAAACATTTAAAGAAAGTAAAATCTTCTGAAACTCTTCCAAAACACTGAGGCCGAGGGAAGGCTCCCAAACTCATTTTATAAGGCCAGCATTACCCTGATATTAAAGATAAGGGTAGTACAAGAAAAAACTACAGGCCAATATCCCTGATAAATATAGATGTGAAAATTTCCAACAAAATGCCAGCAAATCAAATTTGACAGCACATTAAAAGGGTCATACACCATGACCAAGTGGAATTTATCCCTGGGATGCAAGGATGGCTTAACATACGTAAATCAGTTAATGTGCTACACCACATTAGTGGGATGAAAGACAAAAATCATATGATCATCTCAATAGATGCAGGACAGGCATTTGACAAAATTCAACATCCTTTCATGATAAAAACTCAACAGATTTGATACAGAAGGAACACACCTCAACACGACAAAGGTGATATATGACAAACCTGTAACTAACATCACACTCAACAGTAAAAGGTTGAAAACTTTCCCTCTAAAATAAGTGAAAGAGATAAGGATGCTGCTTTCATCAAACCTATTCAACATAGTACTTGAAAGCCCTAGCCAGAACAAGTAGGAAAGAAAAAGAAAGAAAAGGCATTCAAATCAGAAAAGAGGAAGTAAAATTGTTCATTTTTGCTGATGACATGATCTTGTATAGAAAATATCCTAAAGACTCCACCAAAAAACTGTTAAACCTAATAAACAAATTCAGTAAGGTTTCAGGATACTAAATCAACATACAAAATCAATTGTAATAACCTTTAGTGAAAAAGAATATGAAAATGAATATATATGTATATGCATGACCAAGACACTATGCTGTACACCAGAAATTGACATATTGACTGTACTTCAATAAAAAATATCTAAACACTAATAATGAACTATTTGAAAAAGAAATAAAGAAAGTAATCCCATTTTACAATAGCAACAAAAACAATAAAATACTTAGAAAAATTTAAACAAGGAAGTGAAAGATCTATACACCAAAAGTATAAGATATTCATTGAAAGAAAGGAGACACAAATGAATGGAAAAATATTTCATATTCATTAATCAGAAGAGTTAATATTGTTAAAATGTTCTTCCTACCCAAAGCCATCTAAGTTTCAACATAATCCCTATCAAAACTCCAATGGCACTTTTCACAGTAGAAAAAAAATCCTAAAATTTGTATGAAACCCCAATGATCTTGAATAGCTAAAGCAATCCTTAGAAAGAAGAACAAAGCTAAAGCCATCATACTTTCTGATTTCAAATTGTATTACAAAGCTATACTAACCAAAACAGTGTAGTGATGGCATAAAATCAGACACACAGACTGATGGAACAGAAATGAAATACAGAAATAAACACATGCAGATATGGTCAATAAATATTTGATGAGGGAGCCAAGAATATTCCGTGGGGAAAGGATAGTCTCTTCAATAAATACTGTTGAGAAAACTACATCCACATACAAAAGAATGAAATTGTGGACCCCTATTTTACACCATTCACAAAAACTTACTCAAAATGGATTAAGGACTTAAACATAAGACCTGACACCATAAAATTTTGAGAAGAAAACTTAGGGAAAAAACTCCTTTTTATTGGTCTTGGCAATGAATTTTTGGATATGACACCA